TAAATGTCTTCCACTAACCTTATGGCACAACGTCTACTAATACTATGATTGCGACGCTAATACTATGATTGCGACGTTGAGGTGAGAACAAACGCTCTTCCCAACGGGATGGCCGGGGCGATATACTTTTCACAGAAAGAGTAGGAATGCGGCAATATCGCAACGTTGCTCGTAGCTGGGTGGTATTCAAACGAAACTACATAAGCGTTGCTCGCAGCCCCACTCCTCCTGCATCAGGCGGGACAGGGAGATCGCCACTCCTGTCATCTACAAAAGCATCATATCTGATAGAGATAGATAGAGAACTTAGCAGAGGAGGGCGAATACAGTATCAATAACACGTACATTCTTCGTAATCGTTGGCGCTCTTGAGTTGGGACAGATGGTCGTGTAGTTTTGAGAACATGACGTATATGTTTCTCACAAATCTCATGCTGTGTTCGGTAGTCAGTCAAGGGAAGCATAGCATATATGCAAAACGTACTTGTATCGGTGGCCTTTTTTGTGTGTCAGAGGATACATCATCCGACTTTCCAGGTCCACGCATCGTATTGGCCACCATGCGTCGAAGCTTTCGCTGCATCGAGTCTTCTTCCGCCCGAGTGAGCACTTTATTCAGTCCCCCCGCTGACCCACCGATGACGGTATATCGTACATGGCCGATTTCATCTGCGCTGTCTCGCCTACGGGATGAGTTGTGTTCAGAGGATTCCAACTTTGCTGCAGCGATGGTCTCGTGAACCACTTCTAGATGCGCATTGTATATCAAGGCTTGGAGATCAGCACCGGAGAAACCTTCTGCGTCTCGGGCAATGTCTTCTAAGTTTACGGCGGGTGAGATCTTGACTTTACGACTGACAGCTTCTAATATCTAATAAAACTGCGTAAGAGTGATAGCAAGCTGAGGAAACATGCTTGTACCTCTTTACGATCCTGCACATCAGGCATGTCACAAAGGAGTGATTTGTCCAAACGACCTGGCCGAAGTAAGGCGGAGTCGATAAGATCTGGACGACTTCATATAACGTAGTAAGTATGACGTCATTCAGAGACGGCTACAACGTACCTAGTAGCAGCAAGGACATAAACACCATCTAGTCCTTCGACACCATCCAACTGTGTTAGGAGCTGGTTTACAACACGGTCGGTAACGCCTGTACTATCATGTCCTCTGTCCGGAAAACGAGGTCAGAGTGTGGGTGAAACAATTGATTGTGACATGAAGGCTCCTACCGTTTGGGGGCAATCGAGTCAAATTCGTCGAAGAAGAGTACACAAGGTTTAGCAGCATTCGCTCTTTCGAATAGTTCACGAACCTAAGACATATTTTAGTCCTATATCCCCATAACGGGAGCTACGTAGAACATACCGACTGTTCGCTGGCACCAATATACTTATTAAGAAGCTCGGGGCCTTTCACAGTGATGAAATTGAGACCACATTCTTTGGCCACGGCAGACGCGATGAGTGTTTTCCCACAACCTGGGTAGCCGTACAGTAAGAGACTTCATAATTCACATTAGCTGGTTTTCTACGCGAGACGATAGATGACATACCCTTGTCTGAGTCGTAAAGGCGACTGAGCAAAGATTGGTGCGTATTTTGTAGGCCATTCTAAAGTTTCTCGGATGACTCGTTTTGTCTCTTGAAGACCTGATAGACTAACGTTAAGATAAGACTGAAATAGATCATCTTATCAACACACCTCCAATGTCAGCCCAAGCAACTTCAGATTTGTGTAAGGGTACATCCCGAAGCGACAGAGGAACGAAGTCCTTTTGTGCTTTTGTGAAATCTTCCGGTAGTAAATATGGCTATAGAAAATCGAATAAATGAATCATTTCCAAACCCCGGTTCGGAAGTACTACCTACCTTGAATCCTTCCTCATCTTCATACTCAGCCACCCTAATAGCAGCTTGGTGAACGGCTCTTGAAACAAGATCCTTCATATCAGTGATAAGATATCCTTCTGTGTCCATCGCCAACGCCGTGTAATTTAATGATTGTGCAGGATCTTCTGTCAAGTCTGATACGCTTGTGTGACTTTGGACGAGATGTACGAGCATCTGAGAATCATAAGTAGACATTAAAAATACTGAGAAAAATATAGGAAAGACTTGTTCTCACTTCTTTCCGCTCGTCTTTGCCAGGAGGTTTCAAATTGACGGTCTGTTTGAATATATGCGTAGCCATCAAGTTGGGGTGTAGAGTTGCCTTGGATTCCGCCGACGCTAGGAATAGTATTCCAGTACAATCCGGCTGGATCGTCTTGAACGCTGACCCATAGGTGTTGATGAACAACTCCGCCACATGTCGTTGTCGGAACGATTCCGCATGCTACAGATGCCTGATCAGTACACAAAACGATGTAACTTTGTAAATATAGTTACCTCCTCTTCAGCAGCCATCAATTTGTCCATATTGTCGAAAAGGATAATCGAAGGACGATGCCAGTAAGCTTTTTCAAACCAGTAGTTGAATAGTGCCTTGATTCTGGGCACAGGCATTGTCGTGTACTGCGCCAAATCGACCTTCAACACGTCTAGAATCGTCATTTACATATTCTTGGAACCATAGGATTCGTGAGCGAACTTACATGAATATGTTTTGTCAGAATATTGTAAATGCCTCGCTATGGCATTGAGAATGGACGTTTTGCCTGATCCAGAACGGCCGGTTACGAGTAAACCGGGGACTATGGCATTTCATTTCCATTAGTGACATGATATTAGGTCCTGGGGGAAGACTTACCACCACGGACTTTCTCCTTGTTAGCTCGTTGTGTGAGATAAGTTGCCTCACAGAATTCGACACATTCCTTCAGGACTTTATCGACACCAGCCAGCTTCGGAAGAGAGCTATCATATCTATCTGTATCGTATCAATATTCTCCCATGAAGCTACACACATCAAGAATCATGAGATGTACTCACTGGGATGTCACCGAGCTCATATGCGGTGTTTCATACCCCACTGTATAGGTGGACACGTCCTTCATGACGATTCTAATGTTATCGTAATCCTCGACGCCCAATAAGGAACCATGGATAACAGCAGACCCATCCGGTATAGACAATTGCGGCGACCACACCAACAAAACCTCATCCTTAGGTCCCACATGCTGACTCGCCGTCGCGGTCTTTCCCTCAGTCGGTACAAGAACCTTCGGGACCGGTACAGGTACAGGTGCATTCGTATTCCCACCTGAAGGATTAGGATCCTGTGGCGACACCAATCGCTGTACACTAGCATTCCAGCACTTCCCCCTATCATCCACAACATCACAAAATTCCGCAAGACGGAGTTGGGACATTTGTCTGAGATCCATCCTTGATACAAATATAATCGCAGAAATGGAACCGTCGTCTAGGGCTGAGCATGTTGGAGAGATAGGTGGTAGAACACGTTGAGGGAGGACACGAAAGGCGAGTGGTTTGGTTTTGAGATCCGGTTGTGATGTCGAGGTTGTTGTCGGTTGGGTGAGAGTAGATGTAGGTTTGGGCACGGGAGCATTGGTTTTGACAGATCGTGTCTTGGGTGCGATACTAACTTCGGTGCTTGTAGTGAGAAGAAGAGCTTTCTCAACAGAGGGCTCCAGAGACACTATCCATAAATCTGTAAATCCGTGGCTAGTTATTTTTGAGTAGAGAACTTACCGACTCTCAGGCGTACACGCGTACGTCCAAGTACCCATACGTCGATTTCCTGCCCTACGGCTGCGACGCGCACTTGAGAGAGTAATGTAGATTCGACATGTGACGCATGTATCTCCTACAGTCATTATCATGTGGACATGAGCAAAATAGCATGGACATCCGAGGAGGAAGACCTTACCAATATTTCCCAATCATCAGGGGTGAGTGGCTCTGTGCCAACAGAACTCGCATAACCCAAATCATGAAGCAAACCAATTTCAACCTACACACACGCACGTGTAAGCATCAACTCCAAACCACACCTTCGAATCCCAAAAGGGAAGAAGAGGGTACGAACAACATCTCCCTGAGCGAACCCAAGACCTTCAGCAAACTGAGGATCAATCTCGATCGTCTCAAGACCTCTCTCCTCTCTCGTACTAGAAGCAGAATTGAATTGCGCGAGGGACGAGGAAGATGCCATTCCTGTCCATCCGACGTATGCTTCACGTTTGACTGGCCCGTTTGATTGTTGTTTAGATGATGATACTAGGGTTAGATGCACGGCGAGGCCTTGAGGACGCTGGACCACCCATACCATATGCCGTCAATTGACGTATCAGGAAGGCTAAGGTTAATGTGAGATGACATACCACGCCGCGTCCTAGGAGAGGCCCGTAGATCGAGATGGGTAGGTTCACAAGAGAAGAACGTAAGGAGACATAATGTATACGTGCATGTCTCGGCATGGTACACGGTCACCCTGGAATGGAATAAGTCAGAATTCTGCTAGAGATATGACGTCGGGCTAAATGACAGACGCAACAAGTATGATGATAGTTATTTCCGTCACACTCTCCAGGTTGAACTTCAAGTTGAAGGTTGTTGACGATCCCTAAGAATATTCGGCAATGACATGAAGCTCTAAACTGTAAACATTGAATTGCCGGTCAAGCGCTCATTAACATTTCCCCGCAACACGTGAAAACTTGATTAGATAGAATAAAGGGAGGAAAAGGAAAAACACTAACTAGATCATCGTACAGAGCGATACCTAAACAATAAAGAGAGGGATTATATACTAGGTGTTGAGTAACGACTAGTCTGTTGCAGAAAGTATCAAAGAGGGCAAACCGATTTCATGGAAATACCTAGGGACAACGACTCATGGGAGAGTACGATAAAAGTAAAAGACAGCAGTGGATTATATGTATAAATATATAAATAGTGTCTAGGTTGCTCGAGAGTTCTTAACCAGTGACTACAGTTTCCCCATGTTATATTCAAGCAAATATACATGTAACTGGAAAGCTGTAGACGTGAATGAGCTTGATAGGACAAATTAAGTACTGACCCCTATGTACTCTTTGCTAGTATATCGGTTAGTACACGCGCCTGTCATTCTGCGGCTACATGCGATGTGCGCGCGCGAAAGCTGGGTTCGACTCCCAGGCAGAGAGCTGATTTTATCCAGGTGCGTTGCTTTTTACTTTATCATTTTTATCTTTCGCGGTTGATGATCAGATCATCGGAATGTTTTAGAGGTTTATTATATGTCTTAGCCTGTCTATGGTAGAGTTGGCGGTTTTTGCGTTCAGACGAAAGTTTTATGGGTGAACATGAAGTTATATTCTGACATACTCTATAGGAGTTCAAGTGCATACACAACTTATTGAGCGAGATATTTAGGGACTTGTGGAAAGGATCGTGCCTGTGTGCCTTGTTGACCGTTGGCATGAATGTTTGAACACTGCACAGATGGTGATCTCGTTTGATCCTGATGTGGGAGGAGGGAACGTTCTACATAGAGAGGTGTTATGGTGTTTCGATCAGTGGATCAGGCGGGGAGATCTCAAGCTGGTCGGTCAGGCACGCTAGTGGTGGAGGATCTCTCCTGTGATTTGCGATTTACAGCACCAATGTATGACTCTGTGATATTATCCTCGTCTCGAACATGGGATAGGAGAGTGTGTGCTCCGAGTTGCCCTCGTGAAAATGGGTGATGGATCACTATCAAGGGCCGGCAAATAAAACTGTCAGAGTTGCTTCTCATTGGGATGATATAGATATATATATACATACATGAGGAATCGCAAGTCGAACGAACCTGCGTTCGAAGTTTCACGGTGACCTAGAGATGTTCTCAAGCAAAGTCAAGCACTCACGACAAGGACATGATAAATGGGAATGCATATGTATTGACCACGAATGACTGTCAGTGTATATCAACGACATGGATACAGTATATGTGTATATGCGTGGCTGGTAGTCAAGCAGTAGTCAAGCATGGTTGTATATGAGGTGTTGATCGCGGACCGCGTTGTGAAGAGGGAGTGCGATCAGAAGAGAGACATGCAAGGACACAGCATTGAGAGGCATTGAGAGGAAGGATAAGCCATGTTATGTGTTCTGAGATCAGACTCGTGCTCTAGAAAGGAGGGAAGAAGCAGAAAGCGGAGGGGAGTGAATAGAAAGGTGAGATGAGAGTGGCGGAAAAGGCGGATATCCATCAGGAAGCGTGTGTCGTCATCAGTGAGCGAGGGACATGGGTTTGTTGGCATCAAGAGCATTCAGGAGAGGGCAGAAGAGACGTGGGATGCAGAGAGCAGAGTGACAGTCAGTGACAGTGGACGACGTCTGAGGAGAGACAAGAGGAGAGACCAAGTCTGACGTGTGGCATTTACATTTCATTTGGCAGCAGTGGTGAACGAATAGGCAGAGGCCGAGACTGGGCCGGGAGATGCCCAATGAGGAAGAAGAGAGTGCTTGTGAGAAACGCTCGAGTTGCGGTTTCGTGAGCGCGCAACTAGCGTAGGGAGCAAGAGAGGCGAGTCTTGTTCTGCTCTCTCTTGGCTGGCAGCAGCGACGTCTCCCCCAACACCCTCGCTGCGACATACCCACCCCCCGCCGGCTGCATGAACAGAGTCAATCCAACAAACTGGGTATCAAAGGGGGCTCACAAGCACTCGTATCAGCCTGAACAGGATCTCTCCCACCCCCATCAACTTCCCTCCTACTCCTCTTCGACAGCTCCCTCTCCCTCTCCGTCCCAGCTCCATCACCTCCCTCCCAAGCTTGCCACTGCCGTCTCGCAGTCCTTTCGCTCCGTCTTCCACAGACAGCCGAATCGCGTACCTTCTCACTCGTCCCTAAACTCGGCGGTCTCAAAGGGCTCAGCGTCTTCGTCACACAAACAGGCAAACGCTGCTCAGAGCGACCGCTTCTCGTCTTCTCTCCACCCATACGCCACCATGGTCGCGGCCCCGCTTCCTGTTGTCTCGAGCCATGATTCTACCGACGAAGAGGAAGAGTGCCCCGTCTGTCTCGAGCCTCTTAGCTTCAGTTTCAGACTGCCCGGAGAGAAGCCTCACATTGTACCAGAGTGTGGACATGCTCTTCATGAGGTGCGTTTCCTTTACTTGTCTGTTATCTTTCGCTTGCCGTGTTCTCTCTATTTCGCTTTATACTTTCTACTTTATACTTTCTTCCTCCGTTATCACCTTCATTTGCTTTCGCTTCATTGCTTCGATCACTCGTGCTCAGTGATCGACATTGCTTGGTCCCGCCTGCTCTCCGTCCATTATTTGGCTTCACTTTTCACTTGCAACCTTTATTTGCTATTCTGTCCGATACACTCACCCACTCCGGATACCACCATTCATACCCTGGCCATCGTATCATGCACACACCCGTCGCGGTGACTCCAACTCCAACCTCCTCGGTCCATTGTCGCCATTCAAAGGTCGTTCATCCTCCCATCCTCACTCCGTTGCCCACCAACTACGAGTCTGTGCCACGCTACTCTCGTATACAACGCCGGCTGCCTACCTCTACCACTCCTTCGATCACAGCCTCTCAAGCAACGGTGGATATAGACACCTTCTCCACTTGACAGTGATGAAGGTTCTATCACACAAAGGGTTACAATCCCACAATGTAGCTCTGCGCAGCACAGACGGTGTTTCACCGAAACAGAGTTCTCGAGGAAGCCTTAGGCACAGGGATCGTTTTCTACCATTGTTTGGCTAAGGCGGACGACTCCATTGTACCACTATTCCGTCTACACCACTCGGTCCATTGTTCGAACGTGATTGTCGCCCTTCGAAGGTCGTCCATACCCACATTCGAATTCCATTCACCTGCCACCTACAACTCTCCGTATCCGACCCGCGAACACACTCCCTGTTTCATGATCGACATTCTCCAGCGCTATCCCATTCCCACTCTACCTTCACCCAGAGCACTCACCCGGAGAGAAACATATATGGACGTCCCTGCATCCCTCGGGGTCCAGAAGCCTTCACCACGTTCCCCGGTTATCGCGGACGGGAGTTGGCAATTGCATCTGACGTTTGCATTGTATCTTGGGCTTCGATCATTTTATGTTACAGGGTCGGTTTGACATTGGCGGACCACCGCTCCGGACGTTCATGATTCAACGTTTAACGTTGGCGGGAGAGTCGAACGAGGAGTAGTTTGTTCTGTGCGATACTGCGCAGTCAACTGCTTCGTTTCCTAGGCTTTTGGTGGCTTCATTCATCTCATGAATAACACCGAGCTGTGGAGCTTGAGCTGTGTCCGACGCGCCCTCTCTGTCATCGGAATATGTCACTGCAACAGCTCATAGCGTTCATACAACGCCCTCGGGATTGGTGTACTCGCGATTCTCGGACGTTATGTTGGTGAATCCCGTTCGGGGGATTGCACTTCTGGCGGTCGAGGTGCAGTCGGGACCTTTCGTTTGGTGATGGAATCACCTTTTTCGGGTTCGGTCTTTTCTCGCTTTGCGGATTACGCTCCGCCCGTCATTCAACGTTTAATGTTGGCGGGAGTCGACTGCTAGTTGCTCATGCAGTCACTAAACTCTGGTGGCATCTCATGAGCAACACCGAACTTTGGAGGAGACTGTCACCACTGCAAAGGCGATAGCGATACTCGGACGTACCCTCCCAGGGATACACTTCTATCGATCGAGGTGCAGTCGGGACCTGTCACACTCTTTCATTTAGTGATGCAATCACTTTTTTTGGGTTGGGCCTCTAGCCGCCGCTTCGCTCGCTTGAAGCTTTTTTTTTCAAGTCTGGTGCTTGGTTTTCGCTTTTGTGGGCCCGAACCATTCAACGGAGACTTTTAGCTTCGTCTCTTTTCTTCGTCATTAATCATTCGCTGGCCGGGAGCGAGCAGTGGGAGACGACGCTTATTTTCATTTGGTGTGGACTCTCTTTCCTTTTACGACTTTCAGAAGGAGGTGTTTACACAACATCCCGCACGAGAAGAGGAGGAGGGACTTCTACCCTGATGGCGTTATGTCTTCCTTTTTTTTCTCGCCGCAGGTGTTTCCCTCGACGCCACACAGCACCAGAACGAGTGGAGGTCGTTCTGATTCCACTGCCCCCTCCCATGTTACGATGGTGTTTTCATGCAATTTGAAGATGTGATCATCGTGTTAATTGGGGCGGTGTTGTGGACGATGTCACTTCTGCGGTCTCTGTCTCTGTTGTGTCTTGGGATGTGGCGGTGGCCTTTCCTACAGTTGAGGTGCACTCTGCTATATACCTCATGTGGTGAAGTTGTAGGGTTCGGCGAGGTGACGATCAGGTCTCCGGTGTTGTTACGCTCACTGGAACTGGTGCCCATTTGTTCATGTGGCGGTGACGGCTGTTATAGCTGGTTTTTGGGGGGTTATGCCGATGTGAAAGGGTTTTAATCCTTCTCTCGTCGCGGTGGTGAATATCACCATAGTTTCTTACTCCTAGTGTCCACTTGTTTCCCCTCGCGGACACTAGATAGCAGCCTGGCGTAGTGGTGATCAGGTTTTCCTCGCTGCCTGGAGACGGGAGAGATGGTCTCCAACACGAATGGTGGTGGTTCCCAGTGGGGCGGCGGCAGTGTCTGTGTCCGCGAGGTGTCTCTCACACCTGTGTGCTGGGCGAATTGAGAGTGGAATGGGGTCGGTTCCAGTATGTCTTAAGGTCTCACGGGGAGGACATATTGCGCATATGTCCTGGTGATATTTCCCCCGACTTGAATTCACCTTCGTTTCTGTGCATTTTCATTTTTGTCTTTGCTTTGCTTCTGTCTTCAATTCGCTCGTTGTTGTATTGCTAGTTGTACCCAGTTGTATTTTTTGTGTATTCTTTCCATGTCTTCTCCATCCCCGAAATCTAAATGGTACAAGGATGCTAATGTGTTCTCTTCTTTCAAGGCATGTTTCACCGCCGTATATGGACCTCCGCCCACGTCGTCACGGGCAGGCACTATCCTTCGCAAGTCCAATCTGGGTGTCTGTGGTGTCTGCAGACGACCGATGAAAGTTGGAGACGGAGACGGAGGAAAATCGAATAGTAAGTCTATTATTATGTCCCTCTCGACCTACAACTGACGTTGTTCTAGAACTCGCTGCACTGACTGGTATGGGTGACGCCAGTGATACCCTTTTCCCTGGACGAGATACCCCCTC